GTATGCAAAACTCTTTAAGCCAAGAAACACTGGGAACACGCTGTCGAGACAAAGTGAACACGAAGTAAACTGGACGCCGAGTTCAGAGCCCAGGTTGCAGGAGCACCCGCACAGAACAGGCTCGTGAGCACTCTTCTCTCCAGCTTAAGTGCATTTTGGGGCTGGAAGGACTGTTTGCGTGCCAATTTGTGGCGATGGACGTGTCTTGTTGAAGTTTGGGGAAGCTTGCGATGCCAATTCCTCAGTTGTTAGATGAGATAGTGCCAAATTCCTTCTGTGTGCTCAGACTTCGCCAAGGATGGCAACCGTGTTCCAGGTGACGGCTGTGCGACATGCTGAGATGCGAAACGACACACTCACTTGAACCCACTCTCTTGCACAGACTCTGCTCAACATGCACGCAGCTGTTCAGCCGAGGATGAGAATTGTCAGGTCGAAGCAGGCTACACTTGTGGCAGCACAGGCCAGATGACAGCCTGCATTAAAATTTGGCATTCCTTGAATTCGATGATGGCGGCATTAGTGTTTATCCCGCTCCTTGGTTTGTTTTTGCATTTCATTGTGTCATTCAATGCAGTTTGAGTCCCACTGCATTCTTGGTTTTCTGTCCGTTTCTCTCCTGGCTCTTATCTATTTCGTCATTTCACTCCACCTGACTTCGCCTGTTTGTTCACTCCATTCATTTCATGCCATTCTTTTCCTCGTGCCGGGGTCACTTGTGCATTTTCAATGATGCCTTTCATGAGGCAGATTTTGGTCACCAGTGCTTCGACTGAAAACCTGTTTGGTCACATGCTGCCTTACAGGCACTTCTTCGGCATCAATGTGCTCTCCAGTTTGTATTGGGCTCAGGAAAAGGCAGCAGCGACAAAGCCTGTTTCTGAAAGAACACGTGTTCAAGCAAAAGTTAGTCAAGGCGGAGATGGTCTTCTCCTTGCTCCTGAGCAGTGCGATGATGGCAACGTTGGCAAGGGGGCCAGTAGTCTCAGGATCGCAACAAGCATGCCCTTGGTGGTGATGCTTCCTTTTTGCCCAGGATGGTTGCGACGAGCAATGCCAACTTGAACAGGTCTCGGACAAGTTGAATGTTTGCGGTCGTTGTTTGCCGCCACATGTCGAGATTGTTTGGACCATGCAAGAAACGGTCGTGGGGAAATGAAGCAAGACAGAAAGCATCCTTAGCAACAAAACAGAATGAATAGTTCAGGGCTACCAGTGCTGGCCACCTGGAGTCGGTGTGCCCAGAGCCTTTCAGATTTGAGTTCACGCATCCACTTGTTCTTTTCCCACAATCAGATTTTGATTTTGATGTATGCAAGTGCCAATCAAAGGGTTGTTTTCACTTTGCCCGCACTTTCTTTTGAAAAGGCATTCTCAACGATTTTATGCAATGTCGCAGCAACATCGCATGGCTGATGCCGATGCCTTCCGACCAATAATGTTGATACAAGTGTATCCTTTTCCGATTTCACCTAGGTGCCATGCCGATTTCTTTGTGGGGACTTCCTGCGCCTCGAAGGGGAGGCAAGAGAAAACACCTGGAAATGATATGTGAGACTTTGCGATTGCATGGTATGTTACTATAGTTTGTTTTTGGATGGAGGACGGATTTTTTCTTTTAAGGTTTTCTTTGTTTTTCGTGGCTTCTGGCTTCTGGCTTGTGTGGCTTTTGGCTTTCGTGGCTTCTGTGGCTTCTGTGGCTTTTGGCTTTCGTGGCTTCTGTGGCCTTTGTGGCTTTTGGCTTTCGTGGCTTCTGTGGCTTTTGTGGCTTTTGGCTTTTTGGCCTATCCATCTATCTGTCTATATCTATCTATCTATCCTTCTTTCTTTCTTTCTTTCTTTCTTTTTGGCAGCTGTTCTCCTTTCTCTTTGCGCATTTGTCTTTCCTGTTGTTTGCGTGCAGAGACGAAACCAAACAAGGAAGCAAGGAAGCAAGCAAGCAAGCGAGCAAGCAAGCAAGCAAGCAAGCACGAGCTGCTCACCTTTGGATCTGGTGTGCTGCCGGGGGGGGCGCAGCGCCCCCCCCCAACTCCCCGGTGCAAAGCTTTCTAACCAAGCAAATATGCCTCGTCTATGTATGGATCGATCTATCGATCTATCTATCTATCTATGTATCTATCGATCCATTTATCTTTCTATCTTTCTATCTGTCTATCTGCAGTTCAACATCCACAAAGTACTACACCTGCCACGAAATCTGCACATCAAGGTCCACAAAAAGCCTTGCGCCTGCCACGAAATCTGCACTCCAAGGCCCACAAAGTCCTGCACCTGCCACCAACTCTGCACTTCCACATCCACAAAGTCCTGCACCTGCCACGAAATCTGCACTTCCACAAAATCCTGCGCCTGCCACGAAATCTGCACTCCAAGGGCCACAAAGTACTACACCTGCCACGAAATCATCTGCGCTTCAAGGTCCACAAAAAGCCTTGCGCCTGCCACGAAATCTGCACTCCAAGGCCCACAAAGTCCGGCACCTGCCACCAACTCTGCACTTCCACATCCACAAAGTCCTGCGCCTGCCACGAAATCTGCACTCCCCTGCCTTCAACATCCACAAAGTCCTGCACCTGCCACGAAATCTGCGCTTCAACATCCACAAAGTCCTGCACCTGCCACGAAATGTGCATTGCAAGGTCCACAAAGTACTGCGCCTGCCACGAAACACGAAAAACAAACTTTAAAAACATAAGCCAGCATAGACCCAGATAGCGGCAGCGTCCCACGATCTGTTGACATGCGACTGGCTGGAACAAGAATGTACACAGCCTGCACGCGCAGCCAGCTTACGGCGCTTCCACAGCGCGCGCAACCAGCTGACACCAGCGCCGGTGCGCTTTGCCAGCTGACAACGCCGGCGGCGGCAGCAGCAAACGCGCGCTCAGCCACCAGCACCCAGGACCACAACACCAGCGCCAGCACCGACACCCCTTCGAAAGCGCGCGCCCAGCTCATTCTTATTTGCAGTAGGAACCCCATAGCTATCCCTAGTGTGATCTTGCGCGTATAAGCTTATGCGCGCAAAAGTATGCGCGCAAACAGCAAAGCCCGTAAGTGTCATTGGCCCAAGGCCAAGCAGTATCCAGCGCCACTATTGCCTTTGTATCATGCTTGAAGCAACGATCTGTAGAACGATAAGGCCGTATGATTTTGCGCGTATAAGTTTATGCGCGCAAAAGAATGCGCGCAAACGGCAAAGCCCGTAGGCTTCACTCGCCCAAGGCCAAGCAGTATCCAGCACGACTATTTTGTGTGTAGCAGGCTGAAACATGCTGAAACAATGGTCGGTTGAGAGCCTGACGTTGCGCATAGAACATTGCACGTACAAAAGTATGCGCGCAAACAGTATAGCCCTTGACACAGCCATCCGCCAAAACAGAACCTGAAGAGTGTAAATACACCACAGCGCTCATAGACAGAGAACGCTCAAGCGACAACACCGTATGATATTGCGTGCATAAGTTCACGCGGCCCATGACTGCTGGCACTTCACTGTCAGAAGCGGCGGTTGGTCGGTGGCGCCCAGCACCCGGCACCCGGTCTCCACCACGTGCGCAGCCAGCGCCAGCACCGGCGCCCAGTCTCCACCACGCGCCCAGCACCAGCACCGGCGCCAGCAACCTGTCTCCACCACGTGCGCAGCCAGCTCACAGCACCAGCACCGGCGCCCGGCAGCACCGGCACCAGCAACCTGCCTCCACCACGTGCAGCCCGCTCACAGCACCATCACCGGCACCAGCAACCTGTCTCCACCACGTGCACAGTGCCAGCTCACAGCCCCAGCACCGGCACCCAGCACCCAGCACCAGCACCGGCACCAGCAACCTTTCTCCACCGGCACCCGGCACCAGCGCCAGCATGTCTCCACCACGTGCACAGCCAGCTCACAGCACCGGCACCCAGCACCGGCACCGGCAACCTGTCTCCACCACGTGACCTGTCTCGAAAGCGCGCACGGGCAACTCATTGTTATTTGAAGTATGAACCCCATAGCTTCGCTATCTGGGGAACAAAAACATTCCAAATTAAATCCGAGCCCTTTTTGGATGTCTAGAAGTTACATGTCTTGAGAGGCTTGCGATGATGGGAACCTAAACTTGGAAGATGGCTGTGACTCAGCATGCCAGGTGGAGGTGCTCCCAAATTTATGAAAAGATGCCTTTCTGAATCCGAAACCAAACACCTTTGGGTTTTCTGCCAAATATCGCCAGCACCATGGCAGGATGGATGGATTTGCCGTTCCTATGTCTTCGCAGCCACGAATGCCACCTCAGTTTGCACACCAATCTGTGGCGATGGCAAGCTTCGAGGAACTGAGGCAGTGCTGTTATCGCTTTGGTAGAGTTGGCATTGTGGTGATCTAGGTACCCTCACAGTTTATACGCTGTACTTTTTGCCAAGCTGGGATGACTGGATGACAATTTTTATGTCAGAAGGCGCTATCAAAAAAGAGTTTGGGCAGCTACTCAAAATTCACCATTGACAGCTACACCAGTCGCTCTTGCTAGCCTCTTCCAGCATGCTTTGCCTTTGCTACCTTTTTCCGGCAAAACCGTCCTTGGCTTCTCTGCGAAGACATTTGCACTGCTTCGGTTCCTTTTCTAGGATTTTATTCTAAGTGTTGAGCAACAACCTCTTCGACAAAGAAAAAGATATATGGAACTAGATAGCTATTCCCGCTATTCCTGCCCCAAGGCTCACAACATCTGACCATCGACTTTCATGTTTCAATGTTGATCCCTTGTGCTGGATCGATTCGTGAATGCCATTGCCATTGCCGTATCGCAATTCCACAAGGGCATCAAAGGCATCGATCATCTTATTCAATCACGATTCAGGAATCCTAAATCAGACTTTGCCTTAACTTTCCTGAATTCGCTTGCTCGTCCGTTGATGGACAGATTTTTGCCACCAAGTAGCTGTTTGGCCCAGTTATATACCTATGCCAAATCCGACGGAGCTGCAGAGCAAAGGGCTTTGCAGGGCAGCATCTTTGAATGATGGATGCGAAGGATATAGATTTTGAGGTGGTTGCAGTTCCCTCATTTGATGAGGTGGACGCAAGGCCTATGGCAATAGCATGTACAGGAAGTGAAGGATGCTTCATTGTATTCTTTGCTGCTTTTGGTTTCAAATATGTGGACCTGTCTGAAGGACAGTGGAAGGAAGCGATGAAATTCAATGGATCAATTACACCAGGGTTTGGTCTTTTTCACTACAATCAGGGAGATGCCAGTTGGATCTCTTTTGTGGAGTCTCCGGCGAAGTCTTTTGTTTGCTATCGAATCTCCGAGGAGTCCATTGTGGGACGAATGACATTTCCAGGTGATGTCATGGCAACATGCCCCGCAGGAGAGGGTATTGCAGCAATGGTTCTTTCCACCGGTCAACTGCGATTTGCAGACCTGACCACTGGCAAAGCTTGTGGGAAAGGAGCTCGACCCAAGTTTTTTGACAAGGAAGAGTCGAAGCCGTTTTGTATGGCACAGGTGAAGCCTCGCCAAGTAGTCGTGATGAGACAAGTAAAAGCTGTGAATGTCTTCAATGTGCAATTCTTTGTTGTGGAGCTGGATGAAATGAACAATGCACAAATCCAGCAAAGTGGCGTACTGAAAATGGGAAGCTTGGCGAGACTCAGTCATGGCCTCGGAGAAAACTTTGAGCTTGACTCAATTGATGCGATTGGTGGAGAACAAGATGATAAGGCTGGACAGCCGCGCATCATTCTTGCCTGCAAAAGAACAGCTCCTATTCCGACCAATGGGCTTCTGAATGGGAAGCAAGCTGAGCATTCTGAATGCTCAGAACAAGGAAGGCGATTTGCTTTGGCAAATCTTCACACCCTGCGAGCTGAAGCTTTAGGAGCCTTTTCTGGAGCTTCGGATGAAAGCGAAAATAGTCCTCACTGGCATTTGATGGGACTAGATTACTTTGTGGAGTGGTTTGTTGAAGATGGGGTGAGGTTCCGATTGCGAGATTCAAAGTATGGCTTGATTGTGGGCACTGGACATGTTTCGAGAAACGGAAAGCTCAAAAATTCGGAAAGCGGAAAGAGAGATTCTCTCTTCCTTTGCACATCTGAGAGATTCTCTCTAGCCTCAGTGGAAGGATCCTTTGTGGCCATCCGCTGGACTCTCCCTCGATATCATCTTGCCAGCATGTTAGGTCGAGGTGCACCGGCAGATGCTCCACCATTTGATTTGGGAGAAGCACTCAGCAGGAAGAGGAAACATGAGGCAGATGATGAGATTGACTCTAGCTTCATTGCAAGTCTCGTGCGCAATTGCCAAGGAGAAGGGCATTCGGATGTACAGATGCTTCGATCATGCTTGAAGCCAGAAGATCTTCCATTTGTACTCAAGACCCTGACGGCATGGCTTTCTTTCCGCCGAGATTTGACGGCTGGAAGTATCAACGCTGCTGCACCTGGACTGCCCTCTGTTGCTGCAATGGCCCGATTCCTGAAAGCACTGGCAGATGCTTTTGTGCAGAGCATAGTGACGTTGCCGGCAGATCTGGTGCAGAAGGCGTCTTGAATGTAATCTGGACTTCTTGATTTGGAAGTTTGAGATTCTGGTGTACAAACTTTTGAAACGATTTGCAGGAATGAAGGAGGTTGACGCGTTGAAGCATTTGTGTGAATTTTGCAAAGACAATAAACATTTAGGAACCGTTTCATATAGCGAGGTTTCTTCAAGGCAGTTTCTCCCGTTTTCATCTCCCGCCCTCAGGCGAACGAAGCTTCCTGAAGAACCCTCGTTCTACTGCGTCCGGATGCTACTAATTGTAAGTATGAAAGAACGCGAAAAGCGAACCAACGTGAAAGCCGCTCGAAGTGCTCACGTGAAAACGAAACACGGTCTTTTCTTCTAGGGCGTTGCCTGTCATGTCGTGACTCAAGGGGCCCCTGCGTAGGAGCAGGATTCGAAAGTAGCAGCGGCGGAAATGCCAAAAGCTGCATGCACAAGAACTCAAGTTCAAAATGAACATGTCCACTTGGTTTCGTGGCACGAAATCCACACCGGTGGTTGTAGGAAACCTAAGCTCAAAACAAGGCCGGCGGAATGTCGATGCGCCACCTCTCAAGGGCCTTTTGGCCGCAGTAAGCACAGCAATCCCACTGCTTCATTTGCGAGTGGTCTGCTGAAGACAAAGCTTGGCACTCAGGGGTCGTGTGAAAGGACTTTCCGCTCTTGGTGGTGAAGAGCGTCCGGGGCAGCCATTCTCGAGCAAGATCATCTTGGACTGCTGCCAGGCGGTTGTGCACATCGATCCAGTTGTTTCTTGCTTTTCTGAACTCACCTTCAACTTCTCGCAGCTCGCACTGCATGTAGCGCTTGGTGTCAATCAGCTGCTCGATCTCTTCCTCTTGGGCAGAGCATTGAGCCTGTAGGTCAAATAGTTCGGCTTCTTGATCTCGGACGATATCCTGAAGCCGGAGGTTTTCGGACATCAAGATCTTGAGATCAGTTTCTGGCTCCTTCTCTGTCTGTGTGCCCATTGCCGTAGAGCTCGTGGATGTCATAGTCCACGTGGTTCTGGTAATCGAGGAGCACCAGGAAGTAGAGCTACAGCAGCGAAAGAACTGCCAAAGAAGCATGCTAAGTGCCATCGTGTAGAGGATCATGATCGCTTCCGGGCTCAGCATGAAGGTCAGGGTGTCCTCCATGGTCACAGCTTTCACCCCAATCATTTGTGAGGTGAGGACAGCGAATGCCAGGTGCTTGGAGTTGCCGGTCTTCGTGATGGCATGTCGTCGAGCACTGGCTTGTCTTTCAGCCATCGTTTTCTTCTTGGAGGCCTGGAAGCTCATGTCGGCTTGGAGGGAGATGTGGTGTGACCTCAGACGATCAGCAAAAAGTTGCCGAGCTGAGAACTTGGTGACGCCATCGGCCAGCTGAGCCTCAGATGAGACCCATTTGAGGCGTGATTTCATACTCAACATTTTCTGCTTGGTCACCATCACCTCGATCTTGGTGCGTTTGTCACCTTGCAAGCTCGGTGTCTCGGCTTTGAGGGAGTCGTAGAGAGCCTTGGCGTCCACGACAAGTGCTGAAGCCATCTCTGGGGTGAAGTTGTCCACCTGCCTCAACTGGAAGTCATGGCGTATGCAACCTTCCCAAAAGATCAGGAGGTATTCAAGGGCGTCCATCGCAGCTGAACATGCTTGACTCTCAGCATTGAGTGAAGACCTGCTCGCCCGAGGTAGTTTGAAGCTGCGCCAATCCAAGATCGTGTAGTCTTGGGTCGAGCCGTCCTCCAAGATCTGCTGGTTGCAGAGGAACACCACATAGCCTCCTTGAGACTCACTGTTGCGGCGGACTCCCCATGCAGCATCGCTCATTGCAACCATACATAGTTTCTCCATGTCACCACCGAGATCTCTGAAGGTCAGGGCCGCATCGCTGTTGGACTTTGCGAAGCGAAGGACCTTATTGGCCTGAGCTGCTGTGTCACCAGTGGCGGAAGTGACCTCGCCACATAGCAGGGAGACTGAAGCGCTCAAGTGAGGTGAAGTCTGAGTTGCTGGCCACTGCAATGCGCCCAACAGGGCACGAAGACAGCTTTGCTCTTTGGTGCTGAGGTTGCGGTTGGCATCATAGTCGGTGCAAGTCATGGGCTTGACGTTCTTGAGGTATTCAGCTTGATGTAGTTTGGACTCTGTTGCATCCCGACTCAAGTGACAGCCGCAGAACTCAAGAGGTTTCTCAGCACTCTCCTCGGTCCAGTGCTTGAAGTTGAATGCCTCTTTGAGCTGGTTCTTGAGGTGTTCATATTCTGGTGCACCATCTTTTCCACAGCCAAGTAGGTCATCGACATGTAGTCCGACCATTGAGATCAAGGCCTTGCTGGTGTCGTAGTAGGTGTACAGGCATTGATCAAGTGGATGGGGACGGAATCCGAGGCCTTCCAACCTTCTTCTTGCCACCATGAACCATTGTCGAGGAGCATCGGCCTGGCCGTAGATCGGCTTGATCAACTTCATGAGTGTTCCAGGGGCGACTCCGATGAGGTTGCAAGCGTCTCTGGGGATCTTGGCCCATAGGACACGTTCTTGAGGATCTCCCTGGAGGAATGCTGTGGAGACATCTGCAGTCCATCGTTGCCAGTGGTTGATCTGGCTGATTGCCAGCAGGACTTGCCTCGAGGTTCTCGACAATGTGGGTGATGAAGTGTCCAAAGCTCCTTGCAGGAGATCAGGGTCAGAGAAACCCTGCAAGACTAGGCGTGCTTTCGCCTTCAAGCCTCCTTTGCCATCTGCTGCCCATTTGAGGACGAAGCGGGCTTTCATAACTCTGCTGTGGTCGACGGTCTCCGGGTTCATCTCAATCTCCCAAACACCATGTTCAAAAATACTTGACAGTTCGGCCTTTTTGCCCTCCAGGAATGACAGTCTGTCTTCCAAGCTCATGCGCCTCTCGTTGAGGTCGGCGCTTTCTTTGACATTCTTCTTCTTGGGGGCAACTGCACCGGCACCAACAGCCTGCCAGATGTGACCTCGGCGACGCAGGGTTTTGCAACGATTCAACTTGTTGGTGAGGTCGCCGATGTAGTGAAGACCATGCTGTTCAGCTCCTGTGGAGGTGAGTGGGTAGAGAGTCTTTCCGGCCCAGGCTTCATTGAAGTGCTGCTCTTCGGAGGAGTTGACATAGATCGTTCGTGAACCTTGTTGCGTTGACAAACCGGTGGTTGTTTGCAAGAGGTCTTTGTCGATGGGAAACTCTTCCGGATGATATGTGGTTGTGCGACCCCATACATGATTCCGGACCAGGAAACCATCTTCGAAGCTCCACCAGTCCTGAGTGGCTCCCAAGACAAATTCGTTGTTCTTCACATCGTAGTGCCAGCCTGAAGGGAGAGCGTTGGACTTGGTGAGGTCAAAGGAGTGCAAATCCACTTCGACTTCGATTTCATCAGTACGGGCCTTCTTTCTTGCCCAGATGGTTTCTTGTTGATCGAAGCGTCGACGGCGGTCCTGAAAGGATTCCGGAGTCTCAGGTGGATGATAGGAAGCATCAACCACAGGAGGAGCACTGCTGCTTGCCTGTTGTGGAGGTAATTCATGTTGTCCTGCATGTGGCTCATTGGGATCTGGAAGATCAAGATCATTGTCTTCTGGTACTGGTGGTAGATTAGCAGGATCTGGAGGAGCCATCGGAGTACTCATGTGAGGAGGTTCATCCATCGGCTGTTCTTCATCTTCGGAGGCCAGCTCTGGATGATCATGTAGAGGTGGCTCAAGGCTGTTTCCAGATTCGAGACCATCGGGAGCATTCGGGAGCTGCAGGCGAAGACACAGTCAGTGGTGAAGCCTCAGTGTCTGTTGGAGTGTAGTCGAGGTCACTGATCTCTGGGTCCACCTCGTCAATCGATCTCTTGTTGGACTTGCGAAGATCGATGATGCGCACTGCCCGGCGCTGCCGAAGGTCATGAAGTGCTTGCTTCACCCGATCTGAGCCACTCACCATGCCAGAGTCGTTGACCAGCTTTCTCACATGCTGAGATCCAGCGCGAAGGAGCACGGTGCCGTGAGCAAGCCAGTAACATGCAATCGTTCCAGTGTCTGGGTTGCGCTCGATGGCCAAAACAATTGCAGGACCTTTCCATCGGATGGTGTGGGCTTTGTCGGCTGCATCGCGCCAGTACAAACAGCGCTCACCAGGATGAAGATCTTCGTCTCGTCCACCATAGCGTCGCAGCAAAGCTCTGCGAAGCTTGACATCAATTTCTGCCTTTCCACATGCTTGTTGGGCTGAGAACTTCATGGCCAATCGTCGATGAAGACGTTCTTGCTCGGATACCTGCAGTTGCAAGGGTCCAGTTCGTTCGTCGGAGACGAGGCCAGGTAGTGATGGTTCTCTGCCAAGTGCCAACTGGGAGGGGGTGAAGCCATTCACAAACGTGTTGCTGTTGACTGCGGGGACCACCCACGCCAAAGCCTGATGTACTCCATCGAGTCCCTTCAATTCATTTTCCAGCATGAAGATGGAGACGGCTTTTCTAACCAGTTGGTGGCGTCGCTCAACAATGCTTGTGCGAGTGTGAGCCTGTCCAGGTGAGATGCGCAATTCAATGTCATGCTGTTCGCACCATGATGAGGTTGCATCCGAAGCCCAGCCAGTGCCTTCATCAGTATACAACTGCTTCGGAGGTCCATGGAACTGAATCCACGCTCGCTCAAGAGCCTTCTGCAAGGTCGGGCCCTTCTCGTCAGGAATGGTGCGAGCTGCCATATAGCGAGTTGCAACATCAACCATCACCAGCACCGCGATCTTCTTGGCCTTTTGTTTTCGATGGCCAGGTTCAAGAAGCATGCCAATCTCGTCCATCTCAAGCCAAAGAACGTCGGCTTGGAGTTGGGCATTGAACTCAGCGGGGCGGTCAAGATGACCTGGTGCATTGCCCTTCTTGACGGAATGGACTTCACAGTAAGGACAATGAAGATCCTGAACGGCTGCTTGAACCGATTCATCCACGGTCCTTGAGCATTTTGGCCAAGATTTCCTTTCGTGGATGTCCCAAGTTG